TAATGATTCTATGATTCTATGAAAACCTACATCTTTCAAGCCAGAAGTTTGTTGGTGGCAATTAGACTTTAGTAACAACATCATATATTTATACTTATGATCCACACATTTTATTTCACCAACTATAAATGGTCTCCTAGTTCCACATAAATAGGAACAAATGAAGCTTCAAGACATTTCAGTAACAATCCAAAATGAATTTGAAATTCAAGAAACGCCATACCTGTTGGCATCTGCACATTTAACTAGTATTGTCTCAACAACTGGCTTGAGAAGTCGCTGTAGTTTAGTCCTCTCTGCCAAAGTATGACAGGGAGTATATACCAGCATGGCTCTTAAAGTTTTCTGAGAGAAAGGAAAAAAGCAATCAGGAAATCAAATTAGCTGCACAATTTTTTTTTTTAATTCTTTTTTTAAGGAGTTGTAAATAGTTTTATATAAATTGCATTCAAAGTATCAGTGAAATGTTCAAAAGATAAATAGCTTACTACATATTCACTGAAAGAATTAGTCATGTATTCTTTAGATTGGAAAGAACCTAGTCATACAAGTAGTGTAATACTTAGCACTGTAGCTATGTTTGGCCAGTGGAGTCATGCCATTTCACCCTCACTGAGGATTTTGTTCATCCCACTTTCAGATGATGGTTAAAAGTTAAGCCATCAGTGGTACTCAACAACAATTACTAGGATTCCTGACTTCATGTATCTCCTCTCTTTCCAAATAAGTAACTTCGAAATTACTAAAATACAAGTAAACTACTTACTAAAGCAGCAACATACACTTTGTAGACAGGGTCAGCACAGACCATGGACAGCACACTGCAGCAGGATTCCACCACCACATCTCCTGAGATACTGGTCTGAGATGACCCACTAGCTGCTCCCAGAGCTCCAGCACTTGTGTTGTTTCCATTGCTACTTCCAGAATTTCCAGTGCTTTCACCATTAGCCAATAATAGAGCACCACTAACATCATGGGAAAGACGTCTAAGTGCCATCTCTCTTATATTCCAGTTTCGAGAAAACAAGCAGCCAACCAACTCCATTCCAAATACCTGCCAAGGAAAAAGCAACGTTACAAGAGTCAAATTGAGTAATATTGCAACTTAAGTACCTAAGAAGAGCAATCAAAAAGAGCAAAGAAATGTTTCTGGTGAAAAATCACCGTAAGAAGTCTGACAGCAAAAATGTATCAGAAGGTACAGTGTCTTAAAAAAAGATTCTGTGATAGAAATGAAACATCATAAATGATAAGTCATTGGTTGTCCAAAAACTCTGTTAAGAGAACCAGGAGGATGACTGTATGGATGGTTTCATTCACTTTGAATTTTAATTATTCAGTATGGAGTTTGTTTGTAGATGTTGGTATAAACAACCCTGAAATCAAGGTCCGGCTATACCAGACAAAAATTACAGCAGAAATATAGGCAATACGAGTTCTCCCACTTTTAAGTGTGACCCCTGCTCAGCTGAGGCACTCTAGACTCTAAAGGTTATTTAGGTCATTCGGCTCCTGCAACACAACTTGGGTAACAATAAGTGCCAACTTTGTATTTATGGGAACTTGCACAACCAAAACTAGAGTTAAGAATACATTTTATTACATGGACCTTTAATTTGAGACCTGAGATGAAGTCCAAAACTGAAACCCCAGTTAAAACAAGACTGGAAAACCTTCTCTTATGAAGCAAGTTAAATATAATTATTTCCAATAATAATCAACCATAAAGCTGATGGGATTCAAAACAAATTTTTGAATTGTTGATCTGACAAATCTAGCAAAACAGTTCAAAATCAGTTTTTACATTTGAAGCTTCTTTTACAAAGTGAAATTACCTGAATCCATGGCTCAGCTAAATCTTTGTAGGCAGAAGGGATCTGCTGGACCCCATAATGAGTAAGGTTAAAATTGCTATCTTGGGTTCTTCTCTGTGATCCAGCTATAGATTGCTGCTGAGTTTGTTGCTGAACCACACGGAGAACAGAAGAATCCACAGGGCTTGGCAATTCATGACTACACATTAACAACAAATAACGTGAATTAACAAATGAAACATTTACTGAAGTAAATACTTCAGCATATTTTAGAAACATCAACTGAGGATCCAGAAACAGATAGTTTGTTATACACAGACTGAATCCTTACCTATAGAAATCATGAGATCTCCATTTAGATCTACAAAGAGGACAGATAAGTGGCTCTCTGTTTCTTCTGCATTCTTCTGCCCCTGCAATACAGCAACAGGATAATACAGTGTGTATTTACAATGTGTAAAACCAGAAGATGGCATTGCTATTTCTAATTTTTACTGAAGAATTTTAGTTTCAGGATAAATGCTTCTGAACTGAGCCATTTGCAGCACCTTGATAAATATGGGCATTTAAACATTTTTGGCATGCAGAAATGTTTCCATTTAGCACTAGAATTGATATTAAAAGTTATGAACTGAAATGTAGTTCCTTTTGTTCTTCAAACATAGGCAATACTTTTAAAAAAGTATTAAAATATGGGAGATGGCATTTTATTTGTTAAAGCAAACTGTAGCTATTTATATACTTCATTTAATGTAGTATGTAAACATAGTCGGTAATTCACTAGGTAATTTCAGCTGATAGTAGATGTCTTTCATGCATTCTAATGACAAGTCACAGGGGGCTGAAAGTCTGTTCCTAACCTTGCTCTAACTGGACATAATCTCTTCACTCAGGTAAAAGAGGCTCAAACCTCTAGCCCTTCAGTTAACTTCTTTCTCAAAGCATCAAATTACAAACTTTATTTGTGAGTAACTGATAAAACAAGGCATATCAATAGTACCCAAATGATACCAAACTCTCACAAAGAGCTACCAGTCATCACTTAAAAGCAGGTTTCTGGTTTTTTGCTTTTAAAACAAAAAACCCAATGAAAACGCACTAAGTTATAATACTTCCGCATATTTAGAGTCACCAGAACTTAATAAGACAAAGACAACAACGTACATATTGACATGCAGTGGTGGTGTAATTTGTTCCTGCAGCCATCTTCACACACAGTTAGGCTCTCTTCATCCAGCATGCCTAGCAAACAAATGGGGCACATCTGTTCTTCTTCATCCTTCATACTATAAAAATAGATATTTGTGATTCTAGAAGTGTCATATCAGAATTCAGAACAGGCTTTAGCAGTGAAAAAAGATTAACTTCCAGTTTGGAACAGTCACTTCTACACTTCTGAGTAACTATAGGCTATTCATGAATCATTCTCTTAAACCTTTGTCTGAACAAGTAAGCAACCAAATTTTTAGAAGCACTGAGTACAGACAACACTTTGTTGAAATGAAAGGGAAAGTCACAAAACGCATGACATCTTTTCAAACTAGGTCAGATACCAATTAGAGATTGAAAGGCCCAGCCTTGGGCACTTATATTTTTTTTCCCCTAAGGCTTCTTTCAACAAACCAACCTTCCCTTTTATACTTAACATTTGGTTTTGAAAAGCTAAGCAATTTTTATATTTTTAAAGCTACCCACATTTTTTTTCCATCACACTCCTTTCAGAGTATCGAGTCACAAGGTAGCATTTGGCCCATTACAGGAAACTGTAAATACTATTTGATGAACTTAGGTAAAACTCAAATTAACAGAAAATAACAGCCACTCAAGAATTTTCTGCCACTAACAGAAAGAGATGCAGTAGATTCACATAAACACTAACACACCTACATGTCACATGTAGATTTTTTTAAAAAAAACATTTTCCCTGTTTTACATGTTGCTTCCATTTTATTTACCCCCACCTTAATTTTTAAATCGATATAACCAGAGATTTTGCCAGAAAAATTATTCTGAACTTAAACAACACATAGTGAAAAACACAGATTTTAATCTTCTGTAATACTGTTTAAATGTGCAAAACTCTCACTATTCATAGCAAAGGTTTACATTATAGTTGGTGTGTGTCTAAAAGTTTGCAGGAACCCTGTATTTGTTCACCAACAATATATTTTTAAAATAAAATTAATTTGTATATACATTATTTCTATACACAAATTAACTTCTATTTCCTTGCAAATGGTCGCCACTATATTTTTTTCCTTTAAAAATCCATAAAAATAAGCTTACAGTGAAAAATCCATTTCCACAGCATGTACAGAAACACAAGTATTAATTTAAAACTTATTTTTGAAGAATTAGTAGTAAATCAAAAATAATTGCAAGTCACAGTAATTATCAATACTGAGTGAACTTCTATCTCAAATTAATCTGATGCTCAGTGTTGTCCAATACTTATACCATGCAAGATTAAACTTTCATAAAACAGCAACTTATCTCATTGAACCAGTAATGCTAGAAACTAATCATCAGGTGTACTGGCAAACAACGGAAAAATCTTTCATCCTGTGAAAAAATGAGAACTAATGCAGTGAAGTTCCAATCCAGTGAATCCCATTCTATGGAGAAAAAAAAAAAATTCCTACGCAAGGTATCTACATGAAGGGAACTGGCTTGCCAGATAAGTAGTTCTAGAGTAGATTATGTATTTAACTACTTTGTTTATGCAATTTATTTAAAGTGACACAACTTGGCAATTTGGAAAAGTAAGTAAAAGAAATTAGGTCACAATCTGTACATTAGAATTATAAACCTGTCTGAATATATTCATCTAACTATATGGTTATCACAGAGTAACATATCAAGGTACTCCTTAAGTTAGCTTTCACTTTACACACAAGAAAGCCTTAGTTTAGGTTGCCTTCTGTGGTTTGACCTCTCTAGTGGGTGAACTAGACACCCTCCAATGAATGCATGCACAAATCACTTGTTAAAAAATTAACCAATATCACTTCAAAATCAAGAAAAAGAACATGCAAAAGCAGTCAAGTAGTAGAAGTCAGGAAGGACTTCTATAGAAGGGGGTGGGAGGAAATCAAAGAATCAAGCATCGCTTAGAATTCATAAATAAGGTATCACTTAATATTGTATAAACTATAAAAATAATAATAGTTTAATAGCGTCCTTAAAATAACTTAATTGCCCATTTTACATGAAGTGGTTTTTAAAATATATGCTTACTTACGTTTGATATGTTTTTATATATACGTTTACACAAACAGTGCATTTACCCAAAAATTGCATTTCTCCAAAGTAGGACAAGAGAAAAAGAAAAATCATGTTTCTTCATTTGTCAACATTTGCACAAGTATTTGAACAAATGCACACAAACATGTTTCCAAAGTTAATATATGCTTCAGTCTTGCACTTACATTTCAAAAGTTTGTTTCTCAAATTCATAAAGGATCAAAAAAATTCTTTTCACAACTCTACTTAACATTTTTTAAAACAGAAGCTATAAAGCAAATATGCCCATTTGGTACCACGGTGACTAATGAATGCTTGACTCGATTGTTTGCAAATACAGAGACTTAACGTGGTTTGAAATGAAAGCAGCTTTGAACAAAAAGAATGCAGGTGATTCTAAACCTCCAAAATTAAAAGAAAACTACAGAATAAAGCTTTTAATTCCTGTAGAAAAATACTAACCTGTTTTCTGAACTAGATGTAGAAGTACTAGATGATGACAATGTATGAGAATTTGACATGCGTGAGACAAACTTCTGGATGGTGTTACGAGATGGAGCTTTGATCCTCGAGCTACGCCTACTGTGATATTTCTGGAACAAACTCTCAACCTAACATCAGAAAAAGACAGCAACAGTCGTATTTATGCTATGAATAGCTTGTAATTAAAAGTAGTATTACTGAAGCTTAACTACTGCTAAAAAAAGATCTATTCACCTTCACAATAATGCATTAGCAGTAGCAGCACTAGCAGGAATTTCAGAAGTCTTACTAATAAGCAGATCACAAGAAACACTTTACAACAAAAACTTATTTGCGTATTAAAAATAACAGCTTTAAGTATACACACAATTACTTCTGAAGACCCCCATTCTGTTTACCTTTCAGCTCATCAGTGAAACAGATACACAAATTTGAGTAGAAAGTCCAAGACTGGAATCACTCACTAAACTACAGCTTTCTACTATTCTTTTAGTTATGTCTTTTATTTACAGCTATTTTTTTCTACTTACAGAACTCTCGAGATTGAATTAAAGATATAATTAAAAACATATATTCTTGTTGCTTTGAAAAGCAACAGTTTTCAGCATTTTAAGATAATGTCGTAACGCCTTTTACCTCGAGTGCATTTTAGATCTGCCATTAGATCTATTTAAAAATTGATTACCTCAAAGTTCTTCAGTGTCTTCCTCCAGAGCATTGGGTCTGAGGGTTCAAGCTGGAACACCCGCAGCATAACAAACAGCAGATGAATACAAAACGTCCCACGGCCACAGCTACAAGTCTGCAAAGAAAAGTATATGCTAAGGCACTACTGAATTGATAATTACATAGATAATTCTTCCACATTTAAATGCACCATAGAACATACACTACCCACCCCCTTTGCCCCTGAAAAAAAAAAGTAGTTTATGCAAAGTATTTCATATGTAGGCATAAATACCTTCTTACATGGCCTTACAAAAAATGTGAATTCCCAAAATATTATTCCAGAATACGTATGGAAAAGCAGACAATTACACCAGTTTTCAACTGACTTTTTTTTCCCATTTTAAAATTTTTTAAAAATCAACTGAAGTTATTGCCATGCTTCATACTAGAAGGAATTTATGCATATAATCATCATATACCCATAACATGACAGCAATCAAACTTAAATGAGATGCTTCTGTTTACTCAAAAACCTAGATGTTCCCCAATGCAGCATCACATTAGTACTATGGAAGTCTATGAAAAGGACCTCACTATGGGTATTAATGAAATTATCACACCATTAAAGGAATTATGTCATGTGCTTGTCATTTAGATATATCCTATGAATAGAGGAAATAAAGTGTTTCATAGTGAAACCAGGAAAATGAAGTGACCAAATTTTAGCCAAAAATACTTAAGCTATATAATTTGGAGCCACTTCTAGGAATGAGAAATAGACAGGACAATAGTAATTACTTCCAAACTAGAATAATTTTTTTTTTTTTTAAAAGAGAAACTTCAGACAAAACTAATATACTTGCTACATATTTGACAAAATACAAGCTGATCATTATATTACATTAGCACAGATTACAACTTTTAAACATTACTTTATAGAACCTTTATAGTGGGTTGGCAACTAACTTGATCTAAATTGGGTTTGAACAGTTTTCCAAGATTAACTATCAATTAATAAAAGCCACAGACAACACAAAAACATTCTCTACCTGAGGCCCAATAAACACTCTGTATTTATTATCAGGGCTGTCTCCTCCAATTAAGAAAGAGTTGGGTCCTATCTGCTGCAGCAGGTACAGCCTGGCTCGCATAACTTTGTTGACACGACGATTTGTTTCCTCAGGGCTGTATGGAGAGAAGCCATCTGGAGATGGGGCTCGTCGAGGTGGTGTTACTCGTCCACTCTGAAACTACATAAGCAGTTCCATCATAAGCATTTCCAGGACAACAGTAAGTTGGGTTTTGGTGGAGTTTTTGTTTGTTTCTTTGTTTTCCCTCCAAATAACATAGGATAAGAGAGTCCCCGAAATCTGAAACTACTACAACCTGCTTAGACTATATGACTTTAAAAGGATTACTTTTCCTCCATGCCCAGAACTCAAGGGCAGAACAAAAACTGAATTTTGTAACTGAAATTTTGTCTGACATTATGACAGAAATTATTTAAATTGCTTCTATTTTCAAGTCTTCATTGGTTGCCTTAACATATTACTACTGAATTAGCAAGTATAATTCAATCAGAAGATAATCATAGACTTGTGACTCAATACAGGAAATTATTATATAAGGTTATAACACTAATATATTTCATAAATGAAGAAATCATATGACTACAGTTTACAAAAGGGAATATACGGTCAATGAAGAACAAAAGTTTAAGAAATTCCAAAGAAAAGGAAAAAGGATACAGCTTCCTCTCCTTTGCACAATTAAAGCAACTTTCTGTTCATGATAGGATTTTTTTTGTTTTGTTTCCCCATGATCAAAAATTCAGTGGCCCAAACCTTTTATTAAAATTGTCTTCATTTAAATTCTCCACATTTCTAACATTGTGAGATGCATTAATGCCTCTGTCCAATTTCAAATCTTCGCTTTGATTTATATCCACTTTGAATTTTATGTTATGATGCAGGTTATAATTGACTCACCGTCCATCAGTTAAGTAAAAGATAGCCTGAACTTCTAAGGTTTTTTATGTGAAAGGTTAATATAAAACAAAGAAAAACAATCAAGTAAAAATGGATCAAAGGCTAAATTAGATAGTTTGGTGGGTTGTTGTGGTTTTGGTTCGGGGTTTTTTTTTAACTTTTCAATTTCTCTTGTCAAGAGGAAAGGAGCTGTGTTGCACTGCTGTAACTTGTGATATTCATCCCCAGTTCAGAGGAATGGCAGTACACATTGTAATTGATTTTTGGAAACCTTGGTTAGAGCTATGGGACAATACAAGCAATTAGATCTTATTCTTACTCTAATTGCACTGTGAAGTTGTAGGCAAGTCAACTGAAGCTTAACTGCGGATGAGCATTTTTAAAACAAGCAAACCCGTTAGATACTATTGCTCAAAACATTATACTCTTGAACTTCTTTAATGAAGCCAGTCGCTATTGCTCAAAACATTCTATTCCAGATCTTCTTAAATGTAATGATAAAGATTTTAGTCTTCTAACAATGCATATACCTAAATCTTCCCTAATCTGTACATAAATATCAGTTCCGGAAAAGAGGATCACAAATAGCATACCAGTAAGACTCTTCTGCAGAAATCTTCATCCAGTCAACAATCCTATCCCCGATGGAATGTGCCTGCCTGGAGAACTGACATGCAAAACTACAGGAAAAAACCAAACTACTAGCACCTCTTCGTGCAAATCAAGCTAAGAGAACATACATGTCTTCACAACTGAGTATCTATATTTCTTCATTTATTTCAATAAAAATTGAAAGCAGGACTGAATTAAAAAGAAAACACATACCTAAGAGTAGAGAATAAAATTCCACACATGAGAAACATAACATGAGATATGCTCTATGTTTCTCACTCAAGTGATACCCTGTCATAACCTCTTTGTATCAGCATCTTGCCCTACACAGGGAAGATTAATTGCTTCTATAAGCAAAAGATTGCACGATATAGCCAAGTTAAAAATTACATCACAGCTTGCAACTTACAGGCACTGGAGATACCCTTTTTCTTCTAACGCCTGGTGATTCAGATTTAACTGTCCTAGAAGATGATGAAGAGGAGCTACTAGGAGAAGGACTACGTCTTCCTTTCTGTGTAGGTGAAGCAGCAGTGCTTTGCCCTTCAGCTTGAGGTTCTAGAGAGAGTTTGTTCATTTCCGATCCATCTCCTTTCCCAGGAATAGGTTTCACCACCTTGCAGGAATTAAACTATGTGTTAGAATTTGATCATTTTACACTAAAGCAAAACAAATTCATCAAAACTTGTTTTTCTAGCGCTATATAACTAAGCCATTACCCAGATATCCAAAGTTCGCCTATTCCCTAGGTTCCAATATTAACATCTAATAGAGGTTATCTTGTTAATCTATATGCAACACAAAAGCAAGATCCTTTTTTCCTCTCCATTTGTGACGCTTTTGTTAGTTGTGGCAGCAAGTGATTTATTCTCAAAGTACTTCTGTAATTCTCATTCATGATATCTCAAAGGACAGCAGTTCCCTTACTTGCATAGTAGAAGCCAAAAGAATTTTTTTCCTACAGGCATTGTCTGCTTACTGAGAGCTATAACATTGGATCCATCAGTAAGCATTAGCTGAGAAATACTAGGGTTGCTATTTCTACAGCTCAACACTTGTTGCAAAGTAAAAATTACTTTAAACCTGGACGCAATGCAGCAAAATTAAGGTGTGCTGTGCCCTATAAGAACCACACCTGGGTTTTCTGCCTGCCATACAAGTAAAACAGCTACGCCACATCCGGTATCTGAGATGATTACTATGCACAGTGCTGCATTACATGAACAGTCACATGTGCTCAAGGAGAGTGAGTACATATCCTTCTAATACAGTGCTTTGTTGCATGAACACTGAATTTTGACACTCAGGTATGGAATGTATCAAGACAACTTTCAGCTGCCTGCTTCTCAGACCCACATAATGCCTGAGAAGAGTAAGGCCCCTGGGAATTGAATTAAAAGCAGTCACAGCAGGCAGATTCAGTTTTAGTTCTACATTTTTCCATGTCTGAGAGGCTTGACTCAAAAGCTGGAAGAAAGCTTCAAGTAACACTTCAGATTAACAGAGCAGACCTCTCCTAGAAAGTTCCAGTGGTCTCTGATTTAGGCAAAAAATGGAACGGGCTTTCCCTGCTCAGGGTATGTGGAGGAAGAGACATCCAGACTCAGTGCCCTTCTACCTGATGATTTGGACTGCATCCACAAGGTCAGATGCTATTTTAAACTGAAGCGTTTAACTCATCCAACTGAAGCTATTCCACTATCCTGAAATGCATTTCAATTTCAGCAGATTACACAGAGAAGAGGACAATGAGGGGGTTGTGGTCTAGCAGTTAGGCACTGCCTAAAAGAAGAGAAATCTGCATTTACAGCCTTGATCCAAGCACTGCTGGTTTTACTTTAAGAAGTCTCCGTATTTTATGTATTGCAAACCTGAACTTTTCAGAAACCTTTGTGGCTATTGTTTTTAAATACACTGCTATCTGGTTATGAAAGTGAACAGGATAAAGGAGAAACATAAAAAGCAGTGCAGCCTTTTTTTTCCCCCCTCCTACCGATTTCTGTAATGCTTCTTATTTCCTGGAAGGTCAGAATGCAAATTCATGTGCCTAGGGACAAGTTAGTTACCAGCTGCTAGTTCTTGAAAACATTTAAAATGTAAATTAGAATGGTAGTAATTGAGAATCTGGAGCATCAAAAGCTATATTAAAAAAACCCAGAAACTTCAAGGGAAGTGGGCTGAGCAGAGAAACAATTTCAAGCTATGCAGTAATCAAGATGCATTTAAAAATTTTTAAAGTAAGAACTGTTTTCTGTTACTTGACCCTTTGAGATATTGCTTTTTTGGTGCACTTGTAAGTATTTTCAATGTTCTTCCTCATGACAGAAAGTTACCAACAGAACCCTCTCACTTCTTTTCTAGAAAAGCTGTCCCCAAACATTTGTTTACTGCATCAGATGATCTTAGCTTTAAATTAGCACTCCCATCCAGTGGTACATGGGAGTCGCATCGACCAATGCAAATACACTTACAGGTAACTAATGGCTATTAATTAACCAGTATTATATTGAATGGAATTGTAACTATGCTTAGTAAGTTTCAGGTTTGATCTGCTCACAATTTCTTAAAACCACTTCTGAGACATTTATACAAAAGTATTACCCAAAAGGCTAACAGAATACTCTGGCATCCAAAGTTCAGCAGAGTTGAGACTTGTGTGAAAGAGTTACTCAGCTTTGGGTTTTTTGGTTCTAGTAAGATTGCAGCTTGTTTTTTCATCTAGCAAAAATTCCATACACTTCCATCACAATACATAGAAAACTTTAACATTTTCAAACTAAGGAAAACTGCAGTCATGAAACCCCTAAGAATCAAGGGAGTACAAAGCACTATAGTGCAGTTTTGCACTCAAACTTAAGTTTTTACCTAATGAACAGGAGCTACTTTTGTTGTTGACATTAGAGGGCAGTGTTGTCACAGTATTATTTTATACTACACAAATCAGCAGCACAGCTATATGTCTTTTTCTTAAAAATAAAGCTTAATAAATACGTGCATTTCAGAAAGTCAACCACAGTTTTCTTTTAAACGGCTCATAAAAAATGAACAGGAAGACCATAATTAAGAGTATGCAAAGTGTTAAGAAAAAGAGGTTTCTAAAAAAAAGAAATTCAAGGGATTTTTATTTGTAATAGCTGTTACTGATATTGCCTTTCCATCAGTGCCACTTACCACAGGGCCTCTCCTGCTTCTTCTTTCCAGCCATTCATGCTTCCAGGCTGGCATACACGTTGCCTTGAGTTTCTCCCTGATCATGCGCTCTTCTGGGCGGTCATCCATCTTCTGCAACCCCCTGAGGGTTTCTTTATTCTCCATGTCACGACTACAGCAAAGAGAAAATAATATAGTCATAAACACAATTAATTTTAGTTAAAGTATAATACCACAGTATTCTTAAACTTTGTGCCATCTTACTCTCCCTCTCCTTACAATGCAGCTGCTAAAACATTACTGCCAACTGACTGCAGCAAGCCTTTTAAGAGTCATGACTAATCTGCTAGTCTGCAATTTGCAGCAATTCCTGTTTTGAGGGCTATTTCTTTAAAATTTGTGTACTGCTTATAACATTGGACACCCAATAAAAACGAAGGTTTTGGCAAATATTAAACCAATACAAAAATTATCCTACATGTCATGTCATTCACCAAAGGTTTCACAAGTGTTGTGATGGTTCATGCATTCCTCAGCAATTCAAAGCTTGCAATCTCTATTTTAAAACAATTTACAAAATGAATATAAACTAATGGTGAAAATTTTCCATCTTCATAGGATGCACAAGCATGAAACTATGTACGTAGTGCCTCTTCCTATATATGAACTCCTCCTCAAAAAAGAGGACTTGTAAACTAATACACAGTAAGCATGTTTAAATCGGACACCGAAGTCATGAAAGTAAGGCTAGTGGCTTTGAGAGTTGCTTTCTGAGTGACTGATGACTCAAAAGCTCTTCAAGTCAGCTATAATTATAGCAAAATTCACAGCAAGTTCATATCTGTAAAATGAAAGTGTAATCCATCTAGACTTGTACTTTTTTGACCTACAGCAAAGTAGTTGCTTGTGATTGCTGGCAACAACAAAAAAGCAAATACTGTCAGACACTGAAAAACAAATATGAACAGTCTGGAAGATTTCCTGATTCTGTTGAGCTATCTGCTAAATCACCAGGAAAACCACATTCTTAAGCAGCAGCACATGATCCCCACCCATCTTCTTGAAGTTAACCATCTTTAAAAATAAGCAAGCTTGATTAAGCCAACTCTTAGAACGAAATTTTATTTCAAAAATAAAATCGCAACTTAAAGTGGAAAATAAGGCTATATAATAATTTAGTTACAACCGCTGCTTTCATACATGCAGTCTTCAGCTTCTAAAACATGCAGTTATTTTAGCTATGCAGTTAAAACTACATTTATGTACTGTATGATGACCTACAACATATTCCCTGTAACATTCATTACAATAAGGTGATGTTAAAATTACATCCCAGATGATGTTAAAATACATTCCTATCTCCATCAGCAATGTATTACTAAGGTTCACTTATCACAAATCCCAACTTAGAAAAATGAGAAGTTTTCGCTGGTCAGAGGAGTACTCCTGTTACTTTTTTTCTCTCATTGTAGAGACAAAGGAAACAAAGTATTTCGAGGCAGGAAATAACTCTTCCTGTTCAGTGCTGAAACGTAATAAGCAGATGGATACTGTAAACAAAATACAATTTCTTTCAAGAAAGATCTGAATCTACTGTTAATAACCGATTTTAGACACTCAGAACTGTGTCTAGCAATTAAAGACTTAAAAACGTTTATAAATAGAAATACAATCCACCTAAGAATAAATTTTTCAGAGGTTAAGCATTAATGCTTGCTTAACTTCAAAACTAATGCAAGTGACATAAAAATTATTTTTGCCCCAGCACTGAATTCCATACTATTGCCTTCTAGAAACAGAGACAAAAAACTAGTGATAATTCATGAAAAACAAGGATATTATAGCAGCAGGTAGAGTCCAAATGGAGAATGTGCCTACAAGTTTAAAACGGGGGGAAAACTCTTGTGTAAAAAGGGTCAACTTCACATTTTCTCCTCAGTCAAAAAAATCACTTCAAAGACAAAAATCTTTGCATAAGAACAGTACAGCTCCAAAATAATATACATGCAAGTGAAAAATATATGAAGTTACTGGTTTTTTGTATTAGTTATTCCATGGCATGAACCATCTCAGTTGCATGAATACTTTGTATACAAGACAGAAAACACTATCCCAGCAGTGAAAGAATGGCACAGTATTTCATTTGTTCATATAACCATGATTAACTTCCCAACTGATATAAAAAAAGTCTTTTAGAGGCCCTTGGACTTGAATTCATGAACAATGTAATATAACAGTTGAGGCTTCACAATCTGTGCTTGTTCTCTAAAAAGCAGAAGCAACTATCTTCCTCTCATGTGACAGCTAAACCGTTGTACTCTCGCCTGCACAAAGAACTCTTGTGCTTTTCCTCCATGCAGGTGGGAAAGAGCAACCGAGTCTGAAAGCTTTTGCTTAGTAAACCATGGTTATCTTTTTGCAGAATTTAAGTATTATGTGTATTTTTACAGAACACAGTTTCTGAAGTGCTCAAGAAAACTTTGTATTTTAACACAAGCTTGGCTAAAATATTTATTAAATATTCGTATACTGTTGGGTCTGTGGAAAAAATATTTTTCCTGTGACAGCACAAAGCTCCTGCATACTACAGGACATCCTCATTTTGTGGCCCTGAACTTGCGGGGGGGAAAAAAAAGTGGTGTTATTTTTTTTTTAATCTAAAGCATACCCCCTCATCTATTCCAGGCAAGCTGAAGTTTTCCTACATAAAAATGGCTACCTTGCCAGTCTCCATATCACTGTACCTCAGCACAAAATAAAAATAATAAATCCAGAGTGTATTCCACCAAGGACTTGATCCTGCAGGATACAGAGCATTCTGATCTTCATACAGCAAACCTGATACATGAGGCAAGGTAACGACGTGCTTAAGTGACTGCCAGGTGGTACTTTATTTGAACAGCAGTGGCAAAGCTAAGGAGCAGGCCAAAACCCAAATCTCAGAGAGCTTAGACCAGGGAGGCTGACATTTCTCAACAGCTCACCTCTCTGCTTCATCAGGAAGCAAGGATTTTGCTCTTAAATGTTTCAGCTTCTCATGCATCAAGCAAAAGAGATACAAGGCTTTTTTCCAGACAAATTTTGACTTTTAAACTTTGCACCCCCAAAAAGGCAGCATTAATGATCTTTTAAATTCTTTTTATTAGTAGTTTTAAACAAACAGACATCAGCTCCTGTATTATTAGTCAAGAAATGCCAAAGAAATGGATCTAAATTACAATTGTAAAGTACTGAGCAAGCTCAACAGTGTGATCACTACCGTTTTTTAATGCATAAGCTCAGTGGTCTGCACATTAATAATAGCATTATTCACTTTGGATTATTTGCTTCATGAACTATAAAACTAAATACAGTAACATTAATGTACTGCATGGAAACAGTCTACTGCAACATCTTGTGCAACAGAGGAGGCAAGACATTGTCCTTTGTTTCTGTGTCTTAATTTTGAAGACTTGCAAACAGTAATTGAATAGTTAGATTATTAACCACTTATTCTCTATGGATCAATGATTCAGTATTTTAAAACAAGGTATGCAATGCACATGTTATTTAGCAAACTATTGTGAAATACACAAGGAAGATTTACTTCTGAATAGCTCAGTGAATTTAATACTAATTCTCATCAAGAATTTTCTTATAAAGTTGAATCGTAGCTCTAATTCATTTTCCTGTGCTTCTCAATGTTTAGAAACAGTTAATCTTGGTCTCTTTGCCGTCTTATTTGGGCAAACAGCTTTATCCAATAGTTTGGATTTTATTAGCAGCAGGAAAACAGGAAAAAGGCAAGTTCTGAAATAGGAAAGAGTCAGTTCACCAAGAAAAGAGAACCTCTGTCTGGTATATCCACAAATACCTAATCACAGGGACGAAAAAGTTATTAGCTGCTGAGTAAATTTTTTTTTTTTTTTTTTTTTTTTTAATTTTACGTTTGTCTGAAGCAAGTTAGCAAAGGTAACTTGCATACCAGCAGTGGTCAAACCATGGGTGACCACAGAAAACATTCATGAACAGAAGTGGTCACATAGCAGCTCTATCAGAACAATCAATGCATTTAACAACAGGTTGTGAGGACAAGAGCCCAGGGTTTGATAGAAAAGCACTGAATGAGAAGGAATGAATATGGGAGAAATTATATATTCTGCTCCATGCAAATGACATATATGGTGACAATCAATACTGGGGGTGAGCTTAGATGGGATGTACTGAGGGGACCTTAAGCAAGAATTGGGGGACCTTAAGCAGGAATTAAGAGTATGGGCCCCCAGCTACCTGCAACCCAAGCTTCAACAGGTCCCGAGAACGCTGGGCTAGTCTGCTGGCCTGGAAGCACGCTGGGAGCAGCACTCAGTGTGGGGAGCAGGGACAAAGGAGTTAGCCATTCCCTGAATTGAGAAGCTATTCTTGCCAGTTCCAGTAGTTCTCACAGCTCCAGTAGTGCTCACAGTTTCTTTTTTGCCATTAAGTATTTTTAATGATATCAAGATCAGTAAAAAAAAAATTCACATCAAGATGGGCAAGGCATGGTCCGTCCTCTTGCCAGTCCCCCATTCCTTCTCCTCCTGATGCACTACTGCTGGCATCTATCATCTAGCCATTTCTGTCCACCCTAACAGAGCAAAAGATCAGGTATGGCATATTCTATTAAAATGAAAAACTTAACAGGAAACTTTCTCAACCTGGTACTAAATGGCAGCAACTGCCACTTAAAGACAGCATTGAACACACTACTTCATAGCGACTAATGAATCTGGCTTCCTAAAATAGTTACAGGGATTTTAGCTAAATGTTATATAAGTATGAAACTAACTTCTGTTCTTCTGTTAGAGTACCTGACAAACACAAAAGGGAAAACAATAATCATATTCCTTTTTTCTAGCTGCCTCAGCTTCTCCAATAGCTCTTCATCATCTTCCCTTCAGAATAATGTAGGCTCTCTTCATTTGGCCAACACACCATCCACTGAAGCTCACAAGGAGTATATATGGAGTGGTACTCTATATCCACTGTTGGCCTTTCACTGACATTGCCACTTTCTTATGTCATTTAGATGAATCACTAACAAGCATTCTGCATTAGAAACACCCATCTATTTACCTCAAATAAACTTGTATCTTCTATGTATATTTTGAAACATACTTGTAAATACATTTTTATGTTATAAAAATA